TGCCTGTTGGCATGAGCCTTCGTGCCATTAACATACAGGGTGCCCCAACAAAATGTATACACACTTTAAATAATTGTCAACTTGATGTTTGTTATAAGTATATTATGTACAATCTGTAAAAGTATTGACAAGTACCATTGTATTGTTTTTCCACTACATGTTGACTATATTTTAAATAATTGAGAAAGCGAGGAGCCATTTAACATGAATGCGCACAAATACCAAGGGAATTGTTTCATGGTGTGTGCGATTCCTTGTCTCTTGGTGCCAGCAGTGTCTGGATCAAATTGACGTCAGTTTGAGAACATGCAGATCAAAAAACAATACAATGATACTTGTAAATATTTTTACATTTGTGAAATAATAAAATTAAAATAGACACCAAGTTTACAATTATTTTAAATGTGTATACATTTTTTGGGACACCCTGTATATTTCTGAGAATCCTGAGACCTCCTCACGGTAATTTGAAAATGAAGTAAAGTTGTTATGTCGTGAAATGTAAACCAAAATTACGAACTGTGTTTTGTCTTCGGTTTGAAAAGATTACCCGAGTAGCGTTATAATATTACTGATCATACAGCATAAACCCAAGATATCTGAGTACCACCAGTATGCCGGCTTCTCAACGGGCTTCTCCCCGACCGCCTGCAAAAATGCAAATCTCTGAGGATAACTACTTACGTGGCATGAATTATCTCCTTGATCTTCGCTGCCCTCATAAAGTCAAATATTTGAAGAAGAAGTTGTTCTTTGGGATAAAACGTAACTTTAATTGATGAATTTTCGAGTCTAGTGCACTAGCTCATCTTCGGACTAACAGGCAATGTGCAATGAACAAATGACATTTAAAAAGTGCAGAAAATCAATAAGTACACGGGGTGAAACTTGATTAGTAGGTGTGGCCTCAATCAGCTGGGGCACTATACTCGAAAATTCACCAATTAAAGTTACGTTTTATTGACGGAAGGCCAGATTTATTTGCTAACCGACGGGAGGAGCTAAATTTGCTCTGCATTTGCTCTAGGAAATGTGATGGACATTTTACAGACAGCGAAGATTAGTAAGCAACTGCAGGCTACTAAAGTAGTCCGTTTTTTTACAAGCGTCAAAAACGTAGCTGATCGTAAGGGCTCGTGAAAAGATGGGTATGCTATTGTTTACTGCAACAAATCGGGGACTTGCGTTGCATTTTGAAAAAAAGTCACCACTTTAAACTGGATGACCACTATAATGCTGAAGTTGAGCTGCAGTACTGTTAGGCACAGAACCTGTATGCCGGTCTTCCGGTATAGTCTTTTAAGGCGGTTTCTGTCATTCGCAGTTTCGTTCAACTGCTGAGCACTAGAAACACCACAAGCGGTGCAAGATCCGTAACTCCAAGGTAAAACCGTGAACGGTGTGCCTGTTCGTGAGATTTTTTTGGAGTCACACCTCGAAATAAATCAGGACTGACACGCTATATGGAAATTAAATCTCATGTGACTTCAACGCAGTTCCGACTAAATTAGTGACCAGTGTCAATTCAGTCCCCTCCTCCGATGTTATTGCACTGGCTGTTGTTGAGCAGCGCCAGTTGACTGGCTTAGCGAGTGGAATCCACTGCGGAAGCCGCACCAAACTGTACCGACACGGTGCCTCAGTGGACAAAGGGTGGCTGTCTGGTGGATAGACCTCAGGCGAAAATACACCACCGTGTGCTGCAACCTTAGGACCGACTACCTTCTACTAAAACCTTCGCAGTTGTCTACCAAATAAGCTGCAACAATGGAGACTGCAACTACGTTGGAGAAACCGGGCGAAAATTGCAGACCCGTCGGCACGAATGCAAACTGGCAGCTCGGAGACTAGACCCAAACTCATATGGGGGAGACTGGCCACACCTACGATATTTAAAGGGCGACAATCGTAGGCCGAGGAACCTCAAGAGCAGACCAGCTGACGTTCGAGGCATGGGTGTTCAGAGGCCAACTCCGTCAAAAGGCGTCTAGGCCTTTCCACGGCTTACAAATTCCTGCGCCAGTACGTTAGTAAGGACCAGAACAAGGCAAAACAGGACTTGCGAAATGCTATCGAAGACGGCTCCGCGACAGACCCACCAGAAGAGTAAAGAAGGATTACCAGCACCTTCCACCGTGGGGACGAAGTGCAACACCAACTATCGTCACCAACTTCGCCAATATCCATAGCAAGGCCGATGCAGCAGACGAGGAAAAAAATCGGTCAGCCCAAGGTCGACAAGCTCAGCAACACACTTCAGTTGTTGATCTCAGGTGGAAGTCGACGATTTGACAGTGGAGAGCCGGCCAAGCTCTCGAAAACGTCAGCAAAGACAAAACCACTATTATCTTCTCCGATTTCTATCCCGGCCCTCTCACTTTTGCCAATTTGAGGCACTCATTTACTAAAAGGACTAAAGCGAACACATGGGTATTCAGCACAAGAATCAAAGTTAAACTGGACCTACTTAACGGACGAACAGGCCCATTGCGGCACCTACACACGCTTCTCCGAGCTAACTTATTTAAGTCCAACCGCGTTTCCCAGTGATCAGCTCCACCTACACTGGGTGAGGAAACTCATGTAAAGTCGTGATCGAAATTCGATTTAGCATACAGTTGATCGTGAGGTTTTGAGTGGATTTTACACCCAGAAAACATTTTGCTAAAGAAAGCTACACGCCGAGTCTTCTATAGTAAAAAAAAAATCCTCAGCAGTTGGGCGAAATTGGAGGTTGCCAGATATCCAAGAAGTGTTGTTTGTTATTTAATATCTCAAAACAAACATTTTGATTTTGTGTTGTGGTACAAAAGAACAGCAATACAAGCGTGAAGATTTTTAAATAAATTGCCTCAGGAAGCGGTAAATTGGATCTTCAGTCAATGAAAATCAGAAGGAGACAAGTACGAGGAATGGCATTTCTTTTGATAAACAAGGAAATTATTAACCACAAATCAGTGTCCAGAATTAAGCAAGATAGAACAAAGCGATACACAATCAAGCAAGGCGGCTATTTTATTCGTCACACATTAAAAGGAAACCATTGTATGTCCATTAGGACTATTCACAGGGAATAATTTGTCAGTGTTCTCTCGGAATTCAGTCCCCATCAGCAGACTGCAATGATGAAGCTCTTTTTAGATGAGAAACCAATTGAAAAACGATTTTTATTTGCTCAGGAATTTACTAATCTGAGATTTTATTTTTGAAAAGCGTCTTCTTTTGTGATCAATTCTGATTTTTAGATAAGCTTCCGAAGTCGGCCAAAGTGGGGAGAACTGCCCCCTCCCCCCCTCGAGAATACACTGTATCAAAACAACTTTTAAGAACTGCCCACGCGTGATGGTTTGGGCGGCTATCAAATTTGGAGAGACAAGAGACCAAAATAGCACGGTGTTCATCGACGTCACAAAGGATGGCTTCGATTATAACGGCATTCACCGACGCCAAATGGATACTAAAATGTAGCAGAATAAGGTCCAAGTTCACTGAGCAAAGGGGGTATAATTCTAAATTAGTTTACAACTATAGTTTTTTGACGTCAGCCAGCCTTTACGTCTGAAAAGCGGTGACATTCGCCTGCGAAGTTTGCTGTGATGCCAACAAGAGCGCCCAGGTGGGCGGAGACTCACATTTATTACTTAAATGCGACAAATAAGGCTGGAATCCAATCCTCAACAGACATCAATCATTCTGTTGACTTCCCAAAGAGCGAACAGTCTACACCGAGACTGCTCGAAGACATGGTCAAGCTCAGATAAGGCGCAACATAACGATAGTCAGTGGTTCAGTTAACAGACACATTTATCTTTGTCCAGTTTACCAGGTCCTGCCTCAGTAACCATAGGCTAAAAATAGGATGAATACTGGGCACTTAATGGGGACGATCAAGAGC